GTAAAGATGGCAGTGGTAACTGAAGACAACAGAGACGGACATGTGCGCTGATAAAGAATACAGCGGGAATTTAAGCTCGTGAGTCATGCGGGTCATGTGATGATGGTGTTCTTACCAGTCACAGATTTTTTGTACTTTCTGTCCGATCTGGTCTCCCCAGAAAGAGATTAGAAACACAACATTTTTGCTGATCTCACCCTGAAACAACACAGATCAGGCAAGTTATCACTTCACAAAAAGCCAAGAAGAAAAATGACTTTTACATGAATCCCTACAACAATAGATTTTCTCTTTGCTGGTACAAAAGTAGGATGTATCACTTACGTTATCATTAGCTCAGCATCATTTTATTAACATGCCAGCTAAGTCCTGGTCATGGACTTTTAGTTTAAAGCCCTTAAGAAACAATTTTTTTGTAACTTTAAATATTTATAACTATATAACGTGATGTTTCTTTTACAGTAACTCGCAAACGATCTTTGGCTGAATTCAGACATCAGCTGCCAAGAGCAGGGAACAGCCAGTTTTTCTTTTTTGTTAAATAACAAATAATAAACAGCAATTGTTGATTGATTACAACAAATGTTACAATATTTCTCTTGACCTGAAGTACGCAATTTTTACTCACAGTGTCGAGATCAGCGAGGTTCTCGTCCACCTCTGCGTAGCTGAGGATGGTGTAACCCTTACACACTCTCCACAACATACGCTCAAAGGCCTCCACCTTCACCCGCTGGATGAGACCAGAAACAAACCTACAGCCAGACAGAAATCAGGTTACGTTCAAAGTTCATTTCTTAACGGTAGAACACATTATGACGTCCTGTCGTGTGGATGTAAATGACACGTATTGCAGCTCACCCCAGCTTGGCTCCGAGTCTTTGCATACCAGTGCACCCCGTCACCGTGTCCGTCTCCATCGTGGGGAACTCTTCATACTGGGGACCAAGAGCCTCATGCTAATTATAAAAGGGAACATGTTTCATTCAGCTTACATTAACTGCTCATAAGGATTATTAAGACAAAGCCTATGTGAAAGCGCTGTTTATTCTCATAAAGGCCTGTCTTCCATAGAGACACCATTGTTGCTCTTTGCTGTATTCCTTTTTAACACAGCAGCCTGGCTGCTTGTAACGGCTGCACTGGGACCGTGTCTTTAATTAAATTCGGCTCTAGTTTCATTTCTGTCACGCCGGCAAACAGAACACATCCGTGAGAAGAAAACAACGCACTGCTGGTGAGGTGAGAGGAGGCATATTGCCTTGAGATGCAAACAGAGTGGGACTGGAACAGAAGCGGTACGCTAGAGACGGTTGGAGACACACTTACTCTGGAGCGGCTGTGGATGAAGGTCCGTGTGATCTTCAGCATGTGTGTGTACTCGGTGAGCTCCAGGAGGTTCCTCTGCAGCTTCTCTTTGTTTCGGGTCACCTCGCTGAGCTCCATCTCCAGCCTCTGAAGCTGCTCCTGCACGTCACCACACATTGAACACCAGCTTAAGCCTGCACTCAGCAGCAAGTTGACTTCTTCAGTTAACTCAGGCAGACGAGAAGCAACATGAATACGACCGGCATCAGAAGACAGTCAAAATAAATATATATAAATTATCACTGTAGATAAAGATTGATTGAGGGGGGGGGTCGAACTATTAACTTAACAAACCTTGCATTGTTACATTAGCCACACACCAAAAAAAGTAAAATATATAATGTTTAAAAAACATAATTTTAGAATACCAGATAAAATGTAAAAGTAGCACTCAGTGGCAAAAATTATAGAATTGATAAATAATGAACGAAATAAGAACATAATGTATTAATATTTGATGTGTGGTGCATTTAAACATCATATCCTAGTTTCAGACACCTGGATGAATTCTTATCTCAGTTTTAATAAACTTCATTATGTTAAAAGGAGCACTGAAACCAGGATATTGTTGTAATTCAACAACTCGTCCAGGTTTCTTATAATTTTCCACCATGTGTGCAGGTGAGTCCTCAAATCAGGTTATGTAGCAGTGGGTCAGAACAACAACACATATGACGATAAATGATGTAATGATGGGCTACGTGAATGTGAAAGTCTGATGTCAGGAATGCAGAGGATCAATTTTACTGTCTCATCTTCCATTACTGATGACTACATGGAGACGCTAAATCCAGGCAAGAGGTATCATCGACTAGAAGTCCCAACCTTTCTAAAGATACCGAATGAGTCAGGCTTAACTTGGAGAACAATCTAGAATATTTTCATTTGATGGATTGGTGCAGCACGAATCAGAGCGGAAGCAAGAGGATACAGTATATATGCTACCGCCACACAGTGCGGAATAATAAATGATTTTTCCAACCATAGAGTTAAAGGAAGCTGGAGGTTAACAGATCTGGAGGAAGCGACGCAATGCATGCACTGCTGTCACTATCAAAAACCTGATTATTATTAGGATCTATACAGAGATAGGATAGCCAGGTTTCTCTATGTTCCATATATAGAGAATATTTATCGATTCCTCCAGATCTGTATTTTTTTTTTTTTTTTTTTTTTTTTTTTTTTTTTTTTTTTTTTT